GAAAATTCTCGAACATTCGTAACTTCTTTTACGTGAAATAAGTCGCAGTTTTCTTGTTTTTGCATAGTCCATATCTTTAACGACTCCGCTAACTGGAGTCTTCTAAGTACTATTTTTATTTCACGTGTAACCTGAATGTTCAAAAGGAGGTCAGAATCTACGTCTTGTTTGTTCTGTTTTGTTCAAAAGTTAAAAACGGAACGAAAACGAAGGAGAACCGATGGAAAAGGACTTAGACTACGTTCAGACTGCACCTTGAAGTGACCTAAATCTGATTTTTTACGCTCCTGTATCTGATCTTTTAATGACAATCTGAACGAAACCGATCAGATCTTTTTCAAATGTGACCCAGGACACTTGGATCTGTGCTCCTAAAACCGATACATATCTGATCTTTTGTCATGTGACTTCAGTCTGAACGGTCAGGTCACATTCATCCCACCTACACGTCAGGATCAGAGTCTCGTCGACGGAGGGAAAACGAGGTCAGAGAGTTTATTCATATTTGGAGGGATCGTTTTATTCAGGACAAACTGGAGGCGTCTTATCGGAAATTTGTATTTTTTTGTCCAAATGTGGCTCCAACATCAACGAAAAATAAAGAGCCTGAGAGACAAATACAAGGAGGATAAAGACTCAAACAAACGAAGCGGCCGTGGACATGTGACCTGAACATTTTACCAACAACTGGATTGGATTTTGGGAGACGAGTCCAGAGTTTAGACGACTTCTGTAAACCCTGAACACGCTCGCTGTGAGTGACGTCGACACTTTTGGGAATCCGTGTGTCATTCGTTCATTAGTTTTTCAATATAAAACCTAAAATAAGAAAAGGAAAACAACTATTTTCTTCATTATTTGTCTCCAAAACCAAAATGAAAAAAAAAATAAGGATAATGATTTGTTTTTTCAGTTTTTGATTTTGTGTTTAAATGAAAAATGGAAAAAAACAAATAACGGCCGTTTCACATTTTGTGACTAAAACTGCGATGCCGGACTGAACCAGGACTAAACAAGGACTAAACAAGGACTACAACAGGTCCGGGACCAGACCGGGACCAGACCAGAACTGAGACCAGGACTGAGACCGGACTGAGGCTGGGACCAGACCAGGACCAGGACTGAGACTGGGACCATACCAGAACTGAGATCGGGACTGGGACCAGGACTGAGACTGAGACTGAGGCCAGAACTGAGACCGGGACCAGACCAGGACTGAGACCAGGACTGAGACCAGGACCATACCAGAACTGAGACCAAGAATGAGACTGGGACTGAAACCGGGACTGAGACTGGGACTGAGACCAGGACTGAGACTGGGACTGAGACCAGGACTGAGACTGGGACTGAGACCAGGACTGAGACTGGGACTGAGACCAGGACTGAGACTGGGAACAGGACCAGGACTGAGACCGGGACTGAGACCAGGACTGAGACCAGGACTGAGATCGGGACTGAGACCAGGACTGAGACTGGGACTGAGACCAGGAGTGAGTCTAGGAATGAGACCGGGACAGGACCAGGACTGGACCGGACTGAGACCAGGACTGAGACCAGGACTGAGATCGGGACTGAGACCAGGACTGAGATTGGGACTGAGACCAGGACTGAGTCTAGGAATGAGACCGGGAACAGGACCAGGACTGAGACAGGACTGAGACCAGGACTGGGACCGGGACTGAGGCTGGGACCAGACCTGGAATGAAAACAGTTTAGTCCTGTTTTAGTCCTGGTTCAGTCCGGCATCGCAGTTTAAGTCACATAAACGGGAAACGGCCGTTATCCATTTTTCAATTTTTCATTTAAACAGAAAATTGAAAACTGAAAAAAAACCAAATCATTATCTGTTTTTCATTTCATTTTTGGAGACAAATAATGAAGAAAATAGTTGTTTTTTCGTTTTCTTATCATTGATTTTATTTTGAAAAACAAATAAACGAACGACACACGGATTTTTGGGGCATTTAAAGTTCACAGTGTCGATCACACACAAGTCACATTTAACTGGAAACATGAACAACCTTGCAAAAAAAAAATCAGATTTTATTAAAAAGATCAGAACTGAACCTTAAACCCTGCAGCCTGAACGTCGCCTGAACACATTTTCAAACCCACACGTGCTGGAGTCTGTGTAGAAGGGGCACTGACACTGCATAGTTCTGTTTAGTCTTAAGTCTTTATTGCCGAAGGTTTAGGTCCATGGGCTGCGGGGTTTTTCCAGCGTCAGGGACAGAGGAGGGAGCCTGGGTAGCCATACTTGTTTCTCATCGTAACGTAAAGAAAAAAAAAAAAAGAAAGTCTGGACTGGTTCTCACACTCTGAAGAAAAGTCTGACCATCAAAATCTGAACAGTCTCGGTTCGTGGGGCAATTTGGTTTCAGCCAGCAGCTTAAAAACATTCACAAAAGAACGTTTTTAAATATTTTTTGCGTTGGTCGATCAGAGATTTCAATTTTATCTGTTTTATCTAATTAAAAACAAATCAAAATGGCTTTATTTCTTTTCTTTTTTCAACCAATTTCTTCCTCAAAGCTCCAAACCACGCTGCAAATTTGTCTAATCTGGCCAAGATGTAACAACTTCTATCAGGTTATTCATCTTGTTTTCAGATTTATTCCCTACTTACTGGTTCTGAGAGTCTTTAATTCTCATCCAGAGGTTTATTCATTTTAAGAGAACTTGTCAAGTGAAATGATCTTGCTGCATGGACAGATAATTTCACAACTTTTAAGTCATTTTCTGATAGATTTAAGTGTTTATATCTTCAGTTTTGGAGAAGCTTTTTTGCTGTGCACATGTTTTTCCTGACAGAGCAGCGGCTGTAGACACCTGCGTGAAGTTGGCCCTCATCAAAAGCACATCTACACAAAAACTTTGACAATCGTTTGTGCTCCGTTTGTGATCCAACAGCGGCTTTACCAAAACTAGTCAAATTAATTGATCTAATGCTGTGGAAAAGTCTGTATTATCATAAAAAATATTAGGGATGTGACAATAACCGAAATATCGTAATATCGTGTCTTCAATGTTCTCACAATAATATCGTGGACCATCACAATATAGCAAATTACGAAGTTTTGGAGACATTAGTGATTCTTTTATAGGTCAAATAGACTTCAGCAGCCCCCAGAAAGATTAAAAATGCTCTAAAATGGCCCAAAATTGAGTAATTCGTTTGCGCTTAGTTTGTCCTTCATTTGTGCTTCGTTTGTGCTGCAAAAATTTTCTTTTGTGCGATTGTGGCTCTTAAGATATTAACAGTTTTAACAGAGATATTAATTATGCTTTTATCGGTCAAATTGAGGTCAGCAACCCACAGGAAGCTTCAAAATGCTCTAAAATGGAGTCATTCGTTTGTGCTTCATTTGTGCGATTCTGGTTCTTTAAATATTAACAGTTTTATTTTCGGTCGATGACGTCATCCAGCCGCTCAAAAAGTTAAACAGCCTCGAAACGGCAGAAAATTATACTAAACATTTGTGCTTTGTTTGTGCTTCAAAAAGTTTTGTTTGTGCCACTTTAGTTTTGGAGAAATTAACGATTCTTTTATTGGTCAAATTGTCGTTAATTTCTCCAAAAGTAAAGCAGCACAACCAGAACTTTTTACAGCCCAAACGAAGCACAAAGAAACAACAAAAAAATGACAAAATTTTGAGTCATTTTAAAGTATTTTGAAGCTTTCTGGGGCCTGGCCAACCCCAATTTAACCGATAAAAGAATCATTAATATCTTCAAAACTAAAGCAGCACAAACCAAACTTTTTGCAGCACAAACGAAGCACAAACACTGACATAGTTTTTGTGTAGGTTTGGGGGACCAACTTCACGCAGGTTCTGTAGACGTCTCCGTTAAAAAGATGATCCAACATTATTTTTTTCTTTCTTTCAGTCGGACAACTTCCATCTCTCCGCCCGTCTGTCCGTCGTCCGTCCGTGACTCATTAGCCGTGTTTACCTCGACGTGTTTGGGCTGCGAGACGTCGTCAGCGCCGCCGCCGTGATGCCGGAGCGTTCTTCTGTCACACGGACGTCACCGCGGAGACGGGTGACAGCTCTGAAGATAACTCACCGCCAGGAGCCCAAACACGTCAACGTAAATACAGCTCACTAATACGCTGTCCGACTAAAGGAAAATAACTTTTACTGGAAAACTACACTTTATTTTTGCGACTTAAAAGCTCAATTTGACGTTTTTTTTATTGAGGGTCCATCGATATGTCGTTGCTCTGCCTGGAAGTTTGGTTTTATAGCTCAAAAACAACTAGAAAAACGCCTCTACACGGATCTGAGCCTCAACTTGTTCAGGTTTGGGCTCAGTGAAGATCGCACGTTTTAATGCCATACTGCGAAACATTCCAGACAAATCAACGGAGAAAAAGCTTTTGACGGACCCACAACGCACCTTTTAGTTTGTAGATGTTGTTTGAATAGAGTCATCTACTGTTCCTGGTCATTTTTTGGTGCAAACTCTGTAAATTTGGAGCTTTGGGTTCAAAAACAGAGTGTGCGAAGTCCAGCGGCCGCTCTAATTTCAAGTACTATGTGACTTCACACAAGACTGCCCTGATTACAGCCAGACGCAGGAGCGACCGAGCAGAAAAACCAAACTCCTTGATCTGTTGTGAAGTCAAACCCAATCAACTTTTCAAATGGGAGACGGGGGATAATATGAATTTATTTTACAAAGACACAGCTTATATACTCGAGGTTTAATGTTCTACGTAAAATTATTATTATTTACCTGAAGTTCGTTAAGCTTCGTGGATCTTTTCTCGGAGGACACATATTATGCAAAATTTGGATTTGTGTTCAGCTTCGTTCAGTCGTTTTATTGAATTTGTTTAGAAGTTCCTCAGAAATCAGACTCTTCTAATCCTGGTTTAGTCCTGGTTTAGTTTTAGTCCTGGTTTTAGTCCTGGTTTAGACCTGGTTTTAGTCCTGGTTTAGATTGGGTTTTAGTTCTGGTTTTAGTCCTTATTTTGTCCTGGTTTTACACCTGGTTTAGTCCTGGTTTTACTTCTGGTTTTACTTCTGGTTTACATCAGGTTTTAGTTCTGTTTTAGTCCTCGTTTTGTCCTGGTTTAGATCAGGTTTAATCCTGGTTTAATCCTGGTTTAGTACTGGTTTTTAGTCCTGGTTCAGGCCTGGTTTAGACCTGGTTTTAGACCTGGATTAGTCCTGTTTTAGTCCTGGTTTTCAGTCCTGGTTTAGTCCTGGTTTAGACCTGGTTTAGTCCTGGTTTAGACCTGGTTTAGACCTGGTTTAGTCCTGGTTTAGTCCTGGGTTTAGATTTCATTATCTGTTTTTTCATTTTGATTTTGGAGACAAATTATGAAGAAAATACTTTTTTTTTTTCATTTTCTTATTTTTGGTTTTATTTTGAAAAACTACTAAATGAATGATACACGGATTATTAAGATGTTTAATGTTAAAATCTCGACTCGTCTTGTGTAAATTTTGTCTCATCTTTTGTTCCATCTGTACAAATATTGCATAATATGTGTCTTTTCTTTCTGCACGTTTGAGTTTCTGTCGTTATCGTCGCTGCTCTGAACACGTCTGCTCCTCACACGTTCCTCCCGCGAGCCCCAAACCCCCCGACGTGTGAGTATGGGAGTATGGCTACCCCGGCGCTCAGGGACTCCATGGAGCAAAGTGCAGATGCAGGAGCTTAAACCGGGCGAAGGAAGCAGAGGCTTCTGATGCATAGAAGTGTCCCCCCGGGCGGCGCCGCTGGGGGCCGGGGTCAGTAGGGCGCGAACAGGACCTGTGGGTGGGACGTCCTGACTGGGCCGGGGGCGGGCCGTAGCAGCGAGGCGGGGATGGGGTGGGGCTGGAAGAGGGCGGGGCTGGGGGCGGGGCTGGGTCCGGTCGAGCTCCGGTGGGGGAAGGTGTTGCCCATGGCGACGGCGGCGGCGACGGCGGCCAGGTGCGCCGGGAGGATCTGCGAGCTGATCGGCTGGAGCTCCTTCCCCAGAGACAACTTCACCTGAGACACAAGAGAATTTATTTATTTATTTATTTCATCATCATCATCTTTATTCTGGACTCATGGTCCATTTAAAAAACAGACAAGGACAGTGACATTACAAAACAATAAATATTCATGTTTTTAAAAGACGACCACACCAGTGTCTCCACATGTTGGACTGACACCTTATTGCACTGAATCTCAGATTTGTGAGGGACATTATTATTTCATTGTCTGATTTGTTCATTCTGCAGATAAAACTGTACATTAAAATTCTTAGTGCAGCTTGCAGAGTTTTCACTCGAGCAGTAACAAACATTTCAGTCGCACTCGTCCATCGTGGCTCCTCAAAAGCTCCGTAAAGTGTCATTGTAAACACCTGCAGTCTTTGCAAACTGGCTTTTATTTATTTATTTATTTAACAGGGACAGTGCATATTAATGAACATCTACAACACTGCAGTGTAAATATGCAAAAATGCTCATTTCCATCTGTCGTCCCTCGGCAGGAGACACCACAATCTTAACAGAAAAACTGTAACACTTAATAATAACTACACCTTACTTAGCCTTAATAAAGCATGAACAAAGACTTAATTAATAATGAACAAAGACTTAATTAATAATGAACAAAGATTTAATTAATAATGATTCATGCTTAGTAAATGCTTAATAAAGGATCATTCGTCTTCACTTTAGAAAAGTTCTCAAAAAGACTTAACTAACAGATAACAGCTGCCTGAATGATCATTGTATTACATTATTAGTAAATCATTCTCTCATAGTTTATTAATGATTAATAAATGCTCAAATGGTTAGTTCATGAGTAATTAAGTATGAAATAATTATGAGTAACTATTTACAGCACAGGTGAATTAAGTGCAAGTGCTAATTAATGCAGTAATTAAGTAGTTACTAAGCTTGAATCATTATTAATTAAGTCTTTGTTCATTATGAATTAAGCCTTTGTTCATACTTTATTAAGGCTAAATAAAGTGTAGTTATTATAAAGTGTTACCGAAAAAACAAAAACAAGCAACAGATATAAACTAAAAATGTCTGGTTTTCCTTTAGTCGCTGTTTCAAGTAGGACTTGAAAGTGTCCAGTGTTGGAGTTTCTCTTATTGATACTGTTCCAAAATGTTGTGCCTCCGTCTGAAACACACTTTGTCCGAATGACGGTCTTTACTTTAATAAAATCCTGCAACGGAGGAGGGGCAAGTCCACGCAAAACTTTATAGATAAAACATCCATATTTAAAACCAATAAAATGATTAAAATTAAGAAGATTATACTTAGAACACATGTGGTTATTTGTTTTGTATTTGTTGACAGTGTTTTTGTAAAGTGTCCAGACGTCCCTTTGACCCGGGACAGTCCAGTTTTGAGCCTGTGTCCCCTGTCCCTGCAGATTTATACAAAACCACTGATTTGTCCCAGTTTTATACAAGAAATGTCCCAGGTGTCTCTATTTATGACCCAGTATAAACAGTTAAAATTATATTTAGTATGCATAGTATACAATTTATTTTGCCGTATGTAAATATTTGTAAAGTTTCATCATAAATGTACAGCAAATGACATAACTTTAGAATTTTTGAAACTATGTAATGGGGTAACCAGGTCTAAACCAGGACTGAACCAGGACTGAACCAGGACTGAACCAGGACAAAACGTTTTCAGTCCCGGTCTGGTTCCGGTCTGGTTCCGGTCTGGTCGGACCTGGTTTAGTCCTGGTTCAGTCCGTCTGCGGCGCAAAATTCCGGCATCTCAGTTTAAGTCACAGAAACGGGAAACGACCGTTATCCGATTTATCCATTTTTCATTTAAACACAAAATCGAAAAATTAAAAAATTAATCGTTATTGTTTTTTCATTTTGGTTTTGGAGACAAATAATGAAGAAAACTGTTGTTTTGTTGTTTTCTTATTTTTGGTTTTATATTGAAAAACAAATGAATGATACACAGATTTATCAACTGCATTAATATTATTCATGTCGGAAAAGCGGAATGTTTGAAAAATAGTAAAGTGCCGCTTCTCCAACAATAAAAAAAGGTCAAAAAATAATCTTTATGCTGTTACTCCGACAATTAGACGTCAGTGTCTAAATACCAGCATGAAATGGAACAGAACTGAAGCTCATAATAGTAAATTTGACAAAATATTTCCTCTTTACAGAACTTTTTTTAAACTTCCATGAGAAGATGAAGAACTTTTGCACCGTATATGGACTGAACCAGAACTGAACCAGGACTAACCAGGTCTAAACCAAACCAGGTCTAAACCAGGACTAAACCAGGACTGAACCAGTCTAAACTAAACCAGGACTAAACCAGAACTGAACCAGGTCTAAAAAAGGTCTAATCCAGGACTGAACCAGGACTAACCAGGACTGAACCACTAAACAGGTCTAAACCAAGTCTAACCAGGACTGAACCAGGACTAAACCAGGACTAAACCAGAACTAAACCAGGAACCAGGACTAAACCAGGACTAAACCAGGACTAAACCAGGACTGAACCAGAACTGAACCAGGTCTAAAAAGGTCTAAACCAGGACTGAACCAGGACTAAACCAGGACTGAACCAGGACTAAACCAGGACTAAACCAGGTCTAAACCAGGACTAAACCAGGACTAAACCAGAACTGAACCAGAACTGAACCAGAACTGAACCAGGTCTAAACCAGGTCTAAACCAGGACTAAACCAGAACTAAACCAGGTCTAAAAAAGGTCTAACCAGGACTGAACCAGGACTAAACCAGAACTGAACCAGGTCTAAAAAAAGGTCTAACCAGGACTAAACCAGGTCTAAACCAGGACTAAACCAGGTCTAAACCAGGACTAAACCAGGACTAAACCAGGACTGAACCAACGACTAAAGAGAAGCTCATAAAAGTAAATTTAACTAAATATTTCCTCTTTCCAGAACTTTTTTTTGCAGACTCGTTCTCGCCACACAGTCTCCTCCCTCGGGCCTGCGCCTCCTGCTGGGCCGAAGAGGTCACTGCAGTTTAATCGAGCGCATCTGTAACGGAGACGCTGTGGGCTCCGGCGGCACCACTCCCCCCGATCTGCGAACTACAGCGCCCCCTGGGGACACATCCCCCCCCCCCCCCCGCGCCCATCAGCCCGTCAGCCCATCAACCCGCCTCCGTCCGTTAACCGGAGCAATGACGGGTTACGGAAAAGCCATTTGCCCCCCGACGGCTCGCACGGCGGATCGGGGGCTTTAGCCGGAGATGAAAATTCTCCTTTATCCGGTGCACATTAAATCAACATAAATCGGGCGAGTTCCCTGCGACGTTTCACAGGAGCAGCAGCTGGGGCCATTAGTCTGCGAGCGGAGAAGGACGAGCGGCGTTTTCGACTGACGCTGAGGGGGGAAAAGAGAGAGTGGAGTTTCTGCGTGTGAAGCGGCGTAAAGGGAGCGGCGGGCGCGGAGAGGCACATATTTGTCTTACGGCGGGTAAACAGACTGATGGACTCTGAGCGCGTGAGAGGAGGAGGAGAGGGAAACACGACGGGAGGGTTTATCTGACGTAACAGTGGACGTTCAAGAAGACGCGCCGGGCTCGTTTTCATCTGCGACGCCCGCGGAGCGTCGTTATCATTTGGACATTTTAAATCGTAATATTATTCCAAGACTACGACAAGTCGGCGCAGTTACAGGAGGTGTTAGAAAACTGTGGAGCTCAATAATCCGTGTGTCATTCGTTCATTCGTTTTTCCAAAATAAAACCAAAAATAAAACGAAAAAACAACGATTTTCTTTATTATTTGTCTCTAAAACAAAAATGAAAAAATGGATAACGACCGTTTCCCGTTTACGTGACTTCTGTGACTGCGATGTGGACTGAACCAGGACTGATCAGGTCCGGGACCAGACCAAGACTGAGATCGGGACCAGATTGAGACTGAGACTGGACCAGGACCAGACTGGGACCAGACCGTGACTGAGACCGAGACCAGACCGGAGGCTCAGAGCCCACAGCAGGGCCCGAGCTCGAAGCTGAGGCTCGGAGTCAAAGCTCTGGTCCCAGTCTGGTCCCAGTCTGGTCCCGGACCTGGATCAGTCCTGGTTCAGTCCGGCATCGCAGTCACGGAGGTCACGTAAACGGTCGTTATCGTTTTTTTCTATTTTTCATTTAAACACAAAATCGAAAACTGAAAAAACAAAAGTTTTTTTCATTTTGGTTTTGGAGACAAATAATGAAGAAAACTGTTGTTTTTTCGTTTTCTTATTTTTGGTTTTATTTTGAAAAACGAATGAACGAACGACACACGGATTTCCCGTTTATGTGACTTCTGTGACTGCGATGCCGGACTTCTGCACCGCATGACGGACTGAACCAGGACTGAATCAGAACTAAACCAGGACTAAACCGTTTTCAGTCCTGGTCTGGTCCCAGTCTCAATCACAGTCTGGTCCCGATCTGGTCCCGGCATCAGTCCTGGTCTGGTCCTGTACTCATCCCAGTCTCAGACCCAGTCCCGTTCCCGGTCTCAGTCCTGGTCTGATCCCGGTCTCAGTCCCAGTCTTGGTCCCAGACTCAACCCTTGTCTGGTCCCGTTTCTAACTCCTGGTCTCAGTCCTGACCTGGTTTAGTCCTGGTTTAGTTCTGGTTCAGTCTGTACGCGGCGCAAAAGTTCGGCATCGCAGTCACAGAAGTCACGTAAACGGGAAACGATCGTTATCCGTTTTTTCATTTTGGTTTTGGAAACAAATAATGAAGAAAATAGTTGTTTTTTTTTTTTTTTTTTTCGTTTTCTTATTTTTGGTTTTATTTTGAAAAACGACTGAACAGATGATACACGGATTAATAATGATTCGTTTTTTTCAGTTTTTGATTTTGTATTTAAATTAATAATGGAAAAAATGGATAATGACCGTTTGATCCCGGTTTAGTTTTGTTTTAGTCCTGGTTCAGTCCTGGTTTAGTTTGGTTTTAGTCCTGGTTTAGTCCTGGTTTTAAACCTGGTTCAGTCCTGGTTTAGTCCTGGTTCAGTCCTGGTTTA